AACCTCATCCTGTGACAGTAACTCTGAATCACCAGGTTTGCAGTCCTTTTCCCTTCATACTATTCACCAACATATCAGAAACTGTAAGAATCAATTTTAAAAATTGAAAAATGGTCTTTTGTGACTAAACAAAACATATCTACTTGAGCCTGATTAAGCTTTTAATCAGACATCAGCGTTTTGAAGCTAAGCAATATTTCTTATATATCTTGGTTTTATAAATCCAAATAAACATATGCAAAGACCAAACAATTATGTAAACTGACCATTTTAAACTGTTTCATTTTAATTTCTATTTTCTATTTAGTTTATGTACCTAGTCTACATTTTCTAATACTTAATTTAAATGCTTGTTCAGGAGCAAATTGACAGATTTTTAGGTTATAAACAGAAAACACACTCAAGAGTGTTTACTGATTCCTGGACCCTACATACATATATTAATACAAGACTAAACACACAATCTGGCCCAAGGACCATGCAGTCCTCTCTGGTGTTCATAACAAGGAGAATAACTAAATAGCCTTGTAAACCAGATTCACAGACAACAGAAATATCAAATAACTGATTATAAGAATAAAGGGAATTCTTTAAAAATAATAAGTTTGATTATAATATATTCTTATTTGTTCTTGAGAGAATATATTCATTACTTAGAAAATTTTATGTCTTTAAGTACATGCCACATGTATTAATTCCTTTGATTAACATATATGGCATGTATATGCCATATATGTTAATCAAAGGAATTAATCAAAAGCACTGGTTACATGCTAGGAGATATGATTTTTTTAAAATTATGTAGCAAATTGTCTTGATCTTAAAGATGAATGTGAGAAACTGGCTAATACAAAATAGCTAGCTTTAAACTAAATAAGTGATTGTGCCTTACATACATTAACATGATGTTAAACTGACTTTAAGACACATTATAAGACCTCTTATATTAGAAAGCTTAAGTTTTTTTTATTTTAAATTGACCTTAAGATATCCATAAAATGTAAAGATATACATAAAATGTATCCATAAAATCTCATGATTTTGAGATTATTTCCTTCCTGCCTAGTATGTATCAAAAACTTAAGAAGTGGTTCCATCACTTTTGCAGTTGAAGTTGATTCTGTTCAGAAAGCATGAAATATTGATATATTTGAGGAAGGCATCTCAAGACAGCAGTTGAGATGCTGGAAATATGGGCTGTATTTTGCCTTTGTTTTTAAGTTGTCATTTGTACAAATCTTAAGCATAGTTTAACAATTGTTTTGTGAACCGTGGGGAGAAAAAAAACTTTCTTCTGCACATTGATAGAATTTATAAAAAGCAGCTTCAGAAGTAAGTAGTTCTATGTTCAGGTTTCAGATATGACCAGAATCAAGCAATTCTTTATCTGGCATTTTTGGTTGTTTGTTTCTGTTGAGAATTATTTAAATTATTCTGTGAACTATCTAAATTCCCTTCTGAGACATTAAAAGCTATCTATGAGCTATAACTTCCAACAAATGATAAATATCTGTACAGCTGAATGCTTCCTTTCCCCACTGTGGTTTAGGAAGGGTATTCTCCAATTTAGTGCTCCACTAAAACCATACACCACTTGCTCCCTGCTCTCCTTCCCCTCTCCTGAGGCAGGCTGGAGAGGACAACTGGAGGCACAAAAGTTAAATCATGGGTTGATATAAGAAGATTTTACTGGAAACAGTAATGATATAAGAAAATTAACAGTAATAGCAAAAATATCAATAACAAAGTCTACAAGATTTATATGTTCTTATATCAAATTAGAATGATTATTTGATAATACAGCAATATATTTTGATGTGTAGAAACATCAGAAAAAGCAAAGATGAATTGTTTCCTAGCTTAATACTAGGTCTATATTCACAAGTTCATCCAATTAAAAGACTCCTTGACTGTGAAAATATGGGATTTGGGATCTCACCACAGAAATAATTTGTTCATTATATTTATGTCAGCTAACACCTGTAAGTAGTGTCTGACTTCAAATATTATCAGTACGTTATGTGGGTGTGTGTGTGTCTGCAGTCTGGCTCTCCAAAGCAGGAAGATAATTGCACATTTAGTCTAAACTAATAAGGCTTTTCCAGTTGTATGGCTTTCAACCCGAGCATGTCACTGCAGGATGGTGCTTACTCCTCAGCAACTGTCTGCAGGAATAGAGGAAACTGTGAGATGGTAATATGGGGAGAGACATCTGCTGAGTGGGAGGAACTGCCGTATGGCGTTGAAGCAACCATGCTGGAAATGGCAAGAAGAAATGTTCATATGCAGTGAAAAAAGTTCAGATCATTGTTTTAGTGTTTCCCTTGCTGCCTCTCAAACATGCAACTGAAACGATGTGTATTTAGGTTGAATATTCCTTTCAGTCTTGACAAAGTATTTATACACATGGACACTATATTAAAAATTATGATTAAAGGGCAAAAGAAAAGTTACATGAAGAAATGAAATAACCTTAGTAAAGGAATATTTTTTTATGTTTGATTAGGAAACAGAGTTCTGGTAGGTTGCACCAGGTTCCCACCAATGCTGCAGTGTTACTCCCTCTCCTCAGTGGGATAAGGGAGAAAAAATATAATTATGAGCTTGTAGGTTGAGATGAAGACAGAGAGAGATAAATCTATCAGTTACCAGCATGAGTAAAACAGATTTGACTTGGGGAAATTGATTTAATTTGTTACCACTCAAATCAGGGTAGGATAATGAGATATCAAATCTTAAAAACCCCTTGCCCCCCATACTTATCTTCTTCAAAACCTTACCATGCCAACCCAATACAACAGTACATAATAGTCTAATGGGAAAAATGGATCTTTGTGCATTGAGAACAAAAACTTATGCTTGTATTTATGTGCAAAGCAAAATTAGAAAATAGTATATGAAGTCTTAAGCTGAAAGGCTCACATTTACTATTTTCATTATGCTTGTATTTTCTGCCTACAGAACAGTCAGATTTCCTTCCCTTAGTAGCACCTAACAGATATGCAACATTTTACATAATGATTTTTGAAAAGCACCTTTTTGCATATATTGATTATTAAATTAATTTAAAGGTATTAATGGTACTATCTAAAGTACAGACTGAAAAATACTGCCATCTTATTGTGTCAACATGTTACTTATTTGTACTTAAATAAAATTGACACCCTAACAACCATGACAGAACTGTAAATCAACAACCTAGATTTATAGTGGATACTTACTGTGGTGTCTCTGTTAGATATGAAATGTAGCTCCTCATTTGACTTCAGGCTGGTCTGTGATTGCACCAAGCTGAAAACACAGTGTGAATCTTCTCTCTTCCAAATCCTGCCTGACCCCTTTTTTTACAGTATCTGCTCCTGTGCTTCTGCAAGGTGTCAAATTATATTTCTCATCCAAGTAAAGGAAAATCTTGCAGAAAAAAATGGAATTAGCTTTCATATTGATAAAATAAATTACAAAATTCATTTATGGTTACATGAAAATAGACAGAGGTGAGTGGGTGGTAAGCAGGATTGGTCTCAGCAGCAGGCAGTGGGACTAAATGTTTGAGCCAGTTATAGATGGAGTATTATTAAGTGGGAAATGAAAATGAATTTCACTAGACTGCTAAAGAGCTAGGTTATAAAAGTCAAAAGGAAGAGAATTTGAGGATATACTGTTCTTCTGTTTCTCTCTTTTTCAAAGAAATTAGTCTAAAATATCACTCATTTAACAGGTGAATAATTCCAGTTCTTGAAGAAAAAAAAGAGAATCTTTCTTTAAACTTTTCAAGTACTCCTAAATACATGTTAAAAAAAGAAGTCACATTTCTTATGTGGATGTTAAAAGCTATACCTTACTTTTAAAAATCTTGCCTCAATCCTATACATTCATCCTTTGCATTATTGTGTGAGACTGAGCAATGAGTGATTTGTCTTAAAAAAAAAAAAATAATCAGCTGAAATGGTTGGAATGAAAATAGTTTCTGCTACTAACAGATTTGTGTATGTGTCTGTTTATCTTGATGTGTGCACCCAATAGATATATATTTGTATAACATAATTTTCTAATATCTGTCTTGTTATTCCCAGTTGTTTGACAAAGTCATGGTCATAAATAAAATGGATAAAGGTTCTCAATGAAGTATTTAAAACTGATACAACTTTGAAAATCAGTTGTAAATAGATGTCTGTGTATTCTGTTTCCAAGAAATCTTAGGGAAAATTAAAAATGGGCTTGACATTACAGTAGATATAATTAGGAAGGTTTATTTAAAAAAATGAAAAAAATTATAATCTAAAATTTTGAAATTAGAAGAACCTACAAATATCAGTCCATGTGCAAAACTGATCTGCAGTGGAGAAAAATCTTGGTAAATGCTGGAAGAGCTAAGGACGATTCTTTAAGAGGTTTCTGTGATTAATAGTTTTTGGTAGGGGTGGTTTTAGTAATGGATGCAAACAACTTCAATTAATTGATTAATTCTTTCTCTCATTTCCTTTTCAGGGTAAAGCTCTGTTGTATTAGATCTTGATGAGAGAGCAAAAGCATTGTCTGAAGAATGATTAAATAAGGGCCAATTCTGTTCAAAGCTGTTTTGCATCTCCTTGGATTGAAGTCTCTGAAAATGTTGTCCTTCCAGTTATATGGTCTTTCTGATTCTGATGATGTAAACTATTTGCCAAAGCATGAAAGTGACAGATTGAGTACTTAAATCCCAATTGTTTCAATTACTAAATGAAAAGAAACTAAATGGCTAAAAAAATATTTCTGTATAATAAAAGCACATTACTCATATTGCTAGAATATAAATCACAGGAATAGCCTGTTACTTCTTCCCAGAAAGGATGGAACAGAGCCAGTCTGTCTAACTTAAGTACTTAAACTTTGTTTCACAGATGTGTCTCTGGAGGACTCAAAGATAACCACATTAATTAATTTTCATAGGATGAAAACAGAACTTGAATTAAAAAAAAAACCAAAAAAAAACAAAACAACAAAACAACACAGCCAGAAGCAAAAAGTCTATCTAAGCATCTGAAGTTTAGGCACAAGGTAATTGTCTAGTTTATTTTATCCATATTTTAACATTTCTTATGTGGCATATTGATATTGAATTTCTAAATAGAGATAGCTGGCTTACACTGTAAAAACAATACTCTATTTATAACCAAAAGAAAGCAAGCAACATCCTCACACCCACCAGAATTTATTCCAGACTTATTTAATAATATAGAGAATTTTGTATTTTTAATTAACTACATTAATGCTTGAAATTTCTATAATTTTATTTGAAATCTCCAGTGTTGTTTGAAGAGGCTCAGTCACTCTGAAAATCAGGCCAGTTACTCAATAAATGTGATTTACCATGGGTTCAACAGCCTACAGGTATGTCCAGTCTAGTGCTGTGTATTGTGCAGAAATGTCTGAGCTAGTTACAAAGGAGCTAGTTATGAATTTGGAAATGTATCAGCTCTGGGCTAAACACAGCCCTGCTGACCTGACTATACTGTTTATATGCTATGAGTTAGTATCCTTAAATAGTTCTGTGGTAACTCATGCAAACCAACCAACTAATTCTAGCTCTCAACATATCTCTAGTCAGTGCTCCATTTTGTAGTACAAAAATATACAAAACTCAAGCATCTTTAAAAATAGGCTGTATTAAAAAGTTTTGCACTAAATTGTTTAAAATTTTGTGCAGATTTAATTGAACATATTACTTGTTAGATGTCCTCTTTGGCCATAGCGCTGCAGAGGTGAAAAACAGGGATAGAACTTTATATGCTGGATTGGTTTTGGACTAAATACAAAATCAAAGGAATTTAAAAGAGATTACTAAATTACTAAATATGCAGGGTTAGCTGCTGAGAAGAGATAGCCACTTCCATGTAATTCCATAGACTGTACAGGGATTCTGGTGTCAATATATAGGCAAACTACACCATATAAGAACTGATGTAAACATGATGTCAATCCACAAATGAGTGTTCAAATGTTAATAAGGGATAAGAAAATTAAGACAGAGTTGTGAGATAGTAACTTTTTTTTCACACAGAAGTTATATAACTAGTAGTCTATAATATTGTCTTACTTTCCAAAAATGTTGCTAAGTTTTAAATTCATAACTTACAGCTCAAAATGCTAAGTATTTGCATTTGTCGATACAAATATATTCCTTCTATCAGAAAGGAGGTTCTTTATGAGAAGATGATGGTTCTTGAAGCAGCTGTACATACAAACAACTCACCTGCACACTGTTTCCCAGTTATGAAACATGTCATTGATTCCCTGGAAAAATCTCAAAGGATTATTTTTAATTGTTAAAATACACTTGAGATTTTTTTTTCAATTGAATTTTTTTTCCTTAAAAATATAACCATATTTTAAAAATAATACATGAATGTATTGATTCAATATTACAGCTGTTTAATACTGTTAGGATTATTCACTCTCTCTGGGTTGGGTTTTTTTCAGTTATATTTCTTTGGAATGTTTTAAATTTCATTCTATTGTTGCTTAATTGACAGGAATAAATTTTGTCTTAGATTATCCTGGACTAACTTAGTATATTTGAGGTAAAACAGAAAGTAAAATCTAGTTGATAAAATCAATTCTCTGAATCAAGAAACAGATGACCCTGATTGTTGAGGAACACTATGAACAAGAGAGCCAGAACACTCAAACTGAATGTCACAAAGTATAGTTTAAATTTTTACTAGTGCTTTGTTCAAACAAGCATAAATGGGTCTCTGTTTTGTGTTTTCTTCTTAGAGAGTGTATCACAAATCTACAGAGCAAGCTCTTTCAAAACAGCTGATTAGAAATCAAGAGAAATTGAGGTTTCTGCACACAAAGAATTTGCTTACAAATACATTTTTTCCTATTAATGTTTGTTAACAGCATATTAAATTGTTACTTTATATATGGCCTGGTTGTGAAGCAATTCCTGAATTGTTAGTTTTCTTTTCTCTATTATAACTAGTTTACTATGTCTAGGATAATGCTACCCTTTTGAGAACAGCACAACAGCTGTCTAATACCTGAAAAGCAAAGCATAAAGTCCTAAGGCTTTAGTACTTATGTTCCCTGAATAACAAACAGAGGGAGAGATTAATCCAAAATGCTGGTTTTCTCTAACTAAAATAAGACTTTTTTGGAAAAAACCCTAATTTCAGATTTCTGATCTCTGTTTTTCCTGAATTAAAGAGGTTTCTTAGATGTCTAGCTTTACTTTTGATCACCATTTTAAGAAAAAGAAACACATTCTCTGGAAGTTCTTATCAGTTTTTGACTAGAAGGAATCTATTGTTTTATTTGCATGAAATAAGTCTTGACATAATTCAAGTAGCTGATCCATTTGAGATTGTGTTTCAGGCACTACTGGTTGCTGGGTTTAGCACTGATGTTCTTTCTTGTTCTTTATTTTTTCTTCCTCGGCCTTTACTTAAAATGCAAGTGAAAATTCCATTGATAATAATAAGCTTGGTGGCGTTTTTTGAATTTGAGGATTTTGGGATTTTTCTGTTTGCTTGTTTTAGTTTAGGTGTAATAAGCATATAGAAAAACTGTTTACAGGATTACTTAGGAGATCCTGGAGGGACATGGCTCTGTGTTTCTGCATAAAAAGCTCTTAACCTTACAAGAAGTGAAGAACCTTCAATAGCTCTACATATTGGAACACTATTCCTAGAATTCAGGTTAGCATAAAATAAATATCTAATAAATAACTAAATAACTATCTAGTATCTAATAAATAACTAAAAATATTTTAGTTTAGTGCATCTACTGATCTTTACAGTGCACTTATATAGCATATGCTAACCCTCAGTCTGTCCCTATTTGCCTTAGTAAGCTTACTAGACTTGCTCAGCTAAGCTTAGGACACTCTTACCTAGACTTGTCTTACCAATGAATGTTAGAACAACAACAATAAAAAGTCTTTGCTATTTGTTTAAAGACTTCCAGATAAAGCTGCAAATCACATAGAGACACACTCAATAAATAGGTTATCAAAAGCCTTGCAAGAAAGACACATGACTTGACCTAGAGCTTTTTTTTGGTCTGCATTCTGTTTCGGATGATAAATTGCCTGTGAATAAAAGGAAATATTTGTTTTCTGAAATGCAAGAGCTCAATGCCCTCAGTGAATAATTTCTGTGCCATAATCATATATTACTCTAGTAATATAGACCCAGTCAAAGACAGTACTACTGTTAAGTATGTTATACATTATGTAGACCCCTAGAGACAGAATGGAAGTGCTTCTCCTGTGACATGATGACTGTGTCAGTACAGAAGTGAACACTGACATAGCTTAGAGGTGTGTGGATTTCATAGTAGTTTAGTTCTAGTTTCAGTCTACAATTAAAACACACTTAACAGAGAGCAAAAACTCTAAGCTATGTATCTAAATTTGCAATATTGTCAGTAGAGATTAGGACCTTAGCTCACCAAACCTGTATTGTGAAGGTCTTCTGGTATATGAGAAATATATATGAGCTTAGAAGTTATGATGAAGATCTATACTAAATCTATATCCTCTTGGAGAAGAATCTGGAAGTCAGGATGGATGGCTTTGTTATATTAATTTGCTCCTGACATCTGTGTTAAGGTTACTTCATTGCACCTTTAGAAGTTTCATTGACTTTGTTTTTTAGATCACTCTTAATTAAAAAAAAAAAAAAAAAGATTAAGAAAAGAAAATTTAATCATCTTGACTATGTGTACTCACCTAACATCAAATATTTTCTCTTGAATTGAATCTCATCCCCATGACTTAATCCAGTTGCCTGAACACAAAGAGGTAGAACCGTGTGAGATGTCCCAAGGAGGTTTCTCAGCCCATGTCAGGTTAAGGCAAGAGAAACTGAAGCATAGGCAAACACTGGCAAAGATCTCTATGCTTTTTTGCAAGGATTCTAGTAGAAGGTCAGTTCTAATCATAACATACATGAGCCTACATAACACATGTATGTATGTGATATGGCTTTATTTCACAGTAAGTGCCCCAGAGGCCAAGAATCAGGCTGATTCTTTCAGACATTGTATCTGCACTGGCTGTGGAATTAATGATAGTGTCCTCTATGTCTGTTTGACCCAGAGGGATGTTTTTTACTGTCTTTAAACTTCTTACATAGCACTGCCTCTTTATCTTCATTAACCAGAAAGAAAGCCTAAAGTGACTTGGTTAGACTAGTCATCTGCACTATAAATATCTGCATCTAGTCAAGATTTTTTTCATCATTCAATTCCCTTTATAGTATATATTATCTTTAACAAATTGTTTCTTTCTAAAATAGATACCTTATATAGGTCACATGAATCATTCAAGAGTATTCTTTTTGTTTTGGTTAATGACAAAATGTATCCAAACAAATAGCTCAATCATAATTATTTGTACAACAAAAGATTATAAAGCTGGATAAGATGAACATTCTCATTGTTCTTCCATTTAATATAATCAATCTGTCATAATACAATAAATGCTTAAAATTTAATAGTTTGAGTTCACAAATTTGATATCATTGTACAGACAGATTTGTATGATGAAGAAAGTTATATAAAAAGAAAGAAGGTGAAGATTCTGAAAAAAGGCTATTTGATCTACTCAGTAAAATTTTAAAAACTGAAGGTTTTTCTAACCTTCTAACCTTCTAACCTGTTTCAAAAGCTCTTTTCGAACAAGGATTACTTAATGCATGTGTGGTGAAAGAATCATTCACAAGTTTCATTTGGCAGCCAATGATAATATTTAAAGTGCTATTCACAAAATCAAATCTCTGTATGACCAATAGTTTATAACATAGTTTAATTCATTTACCTGAAGATAACACATTTACAGGGGAAGATTTTTGAATGCATGTTTATGTAAATGCAATAAGACAAGCATGAGGAGCTATTTGTAACCAAAATTTTTAAATTTTACACAAAGTATTGCTCTTAAATCCATTAAAAATTTATCTTTAAGCCTTAAACATCCAACACTTGGTAAATCCAAGGAGATACATATTTTCTTGTCTAGATTCAAATTATGTTTAAAAGCTTAAATAAAT